GAATGTAATTAATAAGTTTAATCACTTGAAGACAAAAGAGTTCAATACCCCTCTTGATACAAACTCCAAACTTATAAAAAAAATGATGGAAGAGCAATTGTTCAACTAGAGTATGCAAGGGCTATAGATAGCCTTATTATGTAGCTTAATACATAAGATCTGATATAACATTTGCAATTAGTAAACTTCGTAGGTTTACTAATAATCCAAGGATGGAACATTGGAGGTCATCGGGAGGGTTATTTGTTATTTAAAGGAAACCAAAAATATAGATCTACATTATTCTAAATATTTTACTGTATTAAAAGGATTTACTGACATTAGTTGGATACCTAGCACCGATAAAATAAATCTACTTCGAGTTGGGTTTCTCTTCTTAGAAGCGGTGTAGTTTCTTGAAAGTTTAAGAAACAAACATGTATAACACATTCAATCGTGGAATCTAAATTAGTGTTATTAGCCAACACCTAGAAAGGGGTTATGTTGCTTAAGAAAAGATCTATATGAGATGTCTTTGGGAATAACGAATATATTTTTTGATATTTATTTTGTGTGTTAGTCATGACACATTAATAAAAGCATACAATGAGGTATACAATAGAAAGTTTAGATATATAAGTCTAAAACATGACTACATAAGAAAATTGATCAAAAATGGAATACTTTCCCCAAATTACATTAATTTAAATGAGAATTTGGTGGATCGTTTTACTAAACCTCTTAATAGAGATCTGGTAATATCTACATTGAGTAGGATGGGGTTAAAACTCTTAAATTAAAAGATCCACCAATGAAGGCAATCTTATTTGTCATTTCAAAATAGTAACTATGGGCTCAAAAGGTAACAATAAGTTATTCAATAAGTGGATAGTTTCAGCATTATTATATTTGCGAGAACCCTATCCTAAAATGTAATAATGTTGGTTATTACTTAAAGGAGGGGTAAGCTTTAAGCTCTTAATGAAATTCAATACAAAGTACAAGTATCTTTAAAAGTAACAAAGAAACAGAAAGAACTTCATCTAAATGAACTTTGAGGCAACTCATAGAGAATTAGAGTTTCTCTCTTAAAAGTTCAACAAATAGGATAAGGATAAGTCCATATTAGCTCTAAGCGAGTTTGAGGAACTATGAAACACGGCACTTATGCGTATATTTTTATCGATTTCATCACAAGTAATAATTGTTTCAAAGCTATTATGCTACCTGAAATTTTGATTATACTTTGTGGGAATTATACTAAAGTAAGATTCAAATCAAAAGATATCTAAACTTATGTGTAAGTGTTGATAATTTATATTTGTGATCTATATAATTTTGAATAGCTGGAGGATTGTTATATTTTGTTCAAAAATTATATTGGAAGGGAGAATTGAAAAAATAATTACCATTGAAAAAGAAAAATCAATATGAGATCAAAATGGGAAGAAATTGGAGGGTGGGCAACTTTAAGCCCATGTTCTTTGTGCCATGTATTCCTTGAACAATGCATATACATGGTTACAAGAACTAGTCATTAGTCTAATTTCCAATTTTGATCTCTTGGCAGCTCTCATGAAAATTAACAACTTTCATAAAAGTTATTTACTAATTTGTGGACTGTTTGTGGAAAACTATAATACGTGTTTTCAATTATAACCATAAGATATCAATTCTTAAAATCCACTTAAGTGTTTCTTTCTCCCATTTTTATACATATTAAATGTTTTTAATGTTCATCAAGTTCTTGGAAGAAAACACACGTATTTAATTTTTTTAAATACTTGTTTATTCTACAAATCATTTGCTGGCGAATCTCTTTAAGCACCATAAAACATCCTATACCATTTGAGTACAACAATTACGTATTAAAACCTATAGGTTCTGCAATTTGTTGAGTTCTCTCTTTTACCTATTTCTCATTATCTTTCAACAATATTGGATTTTGATACTCAATAAATCTCGGACAATGATATAAAACGTTGGAATGTATTTTCATATACCTCGACCAATGGTGAATTGATTACCAATATCCAAGTATAGCAGCTCAACTCGAAAACAACAAGGACCATTGGAAGTAGCTTAAGAAATTAATGCTATTTACGACTCATATATTTACCGATTGGATGGCTCTTTGATCTTGGCACATTTAACCCCTTTCTTGGTACAACTAAAGCGTAACTTATATCACTATATATGGTGTATTTCCCTAGCCATTTTTTAGTGTGCGATTTGTGAGTAAAGAGAGAAAAAAATGGCTGCTTATTGTTGAAGAAAAACATGTACAATTGAGAGTAAAAAATCGGTGACTTCCTCCTTCGTTTTGGTCTCATCTTTGTGCCTTATTCATTTTTTTTCTCATGTCTTCTTGGCTTGCAAATCAACACCGTTATTTATCTTGTATGGGTGAGATTGAGAAGCAACTGTGGTAAATGGATTGATTGTGGTTAGTGCCATTTGAATTGGAGAAAGATAATGTGAGACTGGGCTCAAAAATAACAATTTTGATATTGGAGCGAGCTTCTGCAACAATTGGTTAGAGCTTCAAGGTGGCTCAAAAATCTGACTAACAACTAACTAGAAAATCTATAGAATCAAAATAGAAACCAAATTTGCCCAGTTTCTTCAAGGCTACTGAACATATTTCTGTGTTTCGAGCTAATCCAATGATTGGTTGGTGAAACGAAAACTATTGGCGTGACGTATAGGTGGAGGCACAGCTGCATGATCAGCTCATGAAGTGGTCGGACAGCGCATGAAACTCAACCAGATGCATGTGAGAGAGCGTAGAGGTGATTTCGATAACGTTATCTTCTAACAGATTGTTCCAGATGACGAGATAGACTTGTGGTGTTCGATTTCTATTTTAGGCAAAATTGAGATTCTGGACAATTTTACCCCTTAGGCAAAATTGAGATTCTGGACAATTTTACCCCTTAGGCAAAATTGAGATTCTGGACAATTTTACCCCTTAGGCAAAATTGAGATTCTGGACAATTTTACCCCTTAGGCAAAATTGAGATTCTGGACAATTTTGCCCCTTGTGCACTTAGGATTCCCTTTTTTTCTCTATTGGTTGGCATGGTTATTGGAGATTAGTGAATAGTGTTGGTTGTAAAGTAGTAAAATT